AAGCATATGGAACTTTGGACATGTACTTCCTTTATTCATCTATCTTAGGTGATTGGTTCTTCGACAGATTAAGATGGCTTCCGAGTGGAGTGTTTCTGGTCTTTGCATCATGAAGACTGAACTTGCTTAGTACATTTTGTATGTACTTTTATTGAAACAATTTTAAGGTTCCTTCAGACCTGTTTCTGCTAATCCTCATCCCAAGCATTTGCTTAGTTTGTCCTAAGTCTTTCATTTCAAACTCCTCCGCCAGTTGTTGCTTAACCATGCCGATCTCATTTATGCTAGATCCTGCAATTAGCATATCATCAATGTACAACAGTAAAATAATATAGGATTCATCATGATTTTTGATATAACAGCAATAGTCCATCTCATATTGTGTGAAACCATTGTTATGCATGAATCAATCAAATTTCTTGTATCATTGTCAGGGAGCTTGTTTCAAACCATACAAACTCTTCTTCAACTTACACATAAAGTTTTCTTTACCAAAAACTTGAAAACCTTCAGGCTGCTTTATGTAGATGTCTTCTTCAAGGTCACCATGCAAGAAAGCAATTTTAATATCTAGCTGCCCCAAATGCAAATTTTCTGCAATTACGATACTTAGCACCAACTTGGTAGTAGTGACTATAGGAGAGAAGATCTCGGTATAGTCAATTCCTTCCTTCTGTTGAAAGCCTTTTACTACTAACCGTGCTTTGTATCTCTTCTTACCATCATACTCTTCTTTGACTCTGTACACCTACTTGTTCTGCAATGCCTTCTTTTCTTTTGGTAACTCTGTATGTATCCATGTTTTATTCTTTTGAAGAGCATTCATCTCTTCTTTCATGGCTAGCTTCCACTTATCAAAGTCTATTATCTGCATTGCTTCAATAAAATGCTCTGGTTCTCCAGCACCAGTCAGAAGTAAATAGTGAAGAGAGAGTTAATCTATCTGGAGCATTCGTGACTCTTTTAGATCTCCTTAATGTAGGTTCAACAGTAAATGATCCCAAATTTGATTTAGGTCCTAACTCCAGATTTGGTGCTGCGTTTGGTTCTATCTCTGGTTCCGGTTCTGGTTCTGATCTAGATTCGTCTTCTGTTTCTTCATCTTCAATTTCAGAATCAGTTGTAATCCCTCTAGCCACTTCATTTTCTAAGATTTCTTCTAACTCAACTATTTCAGATGTTTATTTGTTAGTGCTAGTTGGTTCTACTTCAAGCTTGTCCTTGTACATCATATTTTCATTAAATGTGACATTCTTGTGTCTTAGGATCTTTCTATTCTGGTCATCCCAAAATCGATAACCAAAATTATCATCACCATAGCCAATAAAGAAATATTTCTTGACTTTAGGATCAAGCTTATCTCTATCATTAGAGTTTACATGCACATAAACAACACAACCAAAAAAATTTCAGATGTGAGAGAGTTACCTCCTTTCCTGTCCATACCTCCTTAGAAATTTCAAAAATCAGTGGCACAGAGGGTCCCCTGTTAATGAGGTAAGCTGCCGTGTTAACAACCTCGGGCCAAAAATACTTCGACAATCCAGAATGTATTCTCATACTTCTGGCTCGTTCATTCAGGGTTCTGTTCTTCCTCTCAGCAATGCCATTTTATTCCGGTATTCCAGGTACTCTCTTGATCATTCTGATCCCATTTTTAGAGCAGAATGCTTTAGACTCTTGATTATCATACTCTCCTCCATTGTCAGACTTCAGACATTTTAAATTTAGACTTGCCTGATTTTCAACTTCAGCTTTCCATCTTTTAAAGGTAACAAATAGAACAACAACAACAACAACAACATACCAGTATTATCCCATACTGTGAGGTCTGGGGAGGGTAGTGTGTATGCAGACCTTACCCCTACTTTGTGAGGATAGAAAGGTTGTTTCCAATAGACCCTCGACTCAGGAAAGCATAAGCACCACAATAATGAAAATACAGACAAGAAGGGACAGTACCAAAAAGTCATATAAAAGCATAATAAAAACAACAAGACAATAAGGTGATCAACAATGAAAGAAAATAACGGTTAGTCATAAATGCGTCAAAACTACTGTTATGACCACTCTAAACTACCTACTCTACTACCCTAATCCTCGACCTCCATACCTTCCTATCAAGGGTCATGTCCTCGGTCAGCTGAAGTTGCGCCATGTCTTGCCTAATCACCTCTCTCCACCTCTTCTTAGGCCTACCTCTACCTCTTCGTAGACTCTCCAATGTAAACCTCTCACACTTCCTCACTGGGGCGTTTGTGCTCCTCCTCCTCACATGACCAAACCACCTAAGCCGCGCTTCCCGCATCTTGTCCTCAATAGGGGCCACACCCACCTTGTCGCGAATAACCTTATTTTTAATTCTATCTAATCTGGTGTGCCCGCACATCCATTTCAACATCCCTATATCTGCTACCTCCATCTTCTGGAAAAGGTAATAAATACGTCAGATTTATTTTTCAGAAAATAAACCCATACCTTTCTTGTGGAATCATTAATGAATGTGACATAATAGCGTGAGCCTCCTAAAGAAGTTACAGGGGTTGGTCCCTACACATCTGTATGCACTAGTTCCAGCTTCTCTTTCTTTAGCGTCCTTCCAGCCTTTGAGAAACTAACTCTCTTTTGTTTCCCGTAAATGCAATCTTCACACAAACCTAATTCAACATGTTTTAGGTTTGACAATTTTTCTTTGGATACCAATAATTTCATTCCCTTCTCAGTTATAAGCTCGAGCCTCCTGTGCCACAATGTTGTATCACGAACATGATCAACTGTTGCTATAATATTTCTCTGTATTGTAGTTGCATGCAGTGTTCCCTTCTTGAAGCCTCATGCCACAACCAAATTTTCTTTGGTTATCTTTCACGATCTGTTACTGAATGTTGTTGTATATTCTTTACTGCCAATTTGACCCATAGACATCAGATTTTTCTTGAGGCCATGAACATGTCGGACATTTTGTAATTTCCATAGCATGCCTTGTGAAGTCTTTATATGAACTTCACCTTTCCTGACAATGTCCAGAGATTCGCCATCTGCTAAATAAACTTTCCTGAATTTTCCAACAATATAATTATGCATTAATTCTTTGCATGATGTAGAGTGAAAGGATGCGCCTGAGTCCAGAATCCAAGATTCGGCTGGACTGTCTGCACAACAAATTAGTGCATCACCGACTTGTTCAGCAATTACATTTGCTGGATTTTCTTCCTTCTTCTTCTTTGGTTCTCTACATTGACTACTATAATTCCAACAAGTAATGTACTTGCTATTTTTGGATTGCCCTCTTCTCTTTGACTTTGATCTGCCACGACCATGACTTTGTCCTCTTTGGTTGCTTCTCCCCTGCTTTCGGTATTAAAAGCAGATCCTAGGGAATCACTTGATTCTCTTCAGCGAATATCTTCGCTTAGAACCAAGTCTCTAATATCATTCAATTTGAGTTTGGTACTTCCCGATGAACTGCTAACTGCAGTTACCATTGCAAACCAACTCTACGGTATAGATGATAGTATAATCAATGCCCTGACTTCGTCATCATATGTTATATTAACAGAACTCAACTGAGTTAATATTATATTAAACTCATCAATATGTATCCGTGACCGATCCACCTTCTGTCATCTTTAAGTTGACCAATCGACGTATCAAATAGACTTTATTTGAAGCAGATGGCTTCTCGTACATATTTGATAACGCCTTCATCAGGACTGCAGTGGTCTTCTCGTTAATGATGTTAAACGTCACATTTCGTGTTAGCGTCAAACGAATCACACCAAGAGCTTGGCGATCTAATAGATTACAATCCGCTTTCACCATATTCTCTGGTTTTACCTCGGTCAGAGGTAAGTGTAATTTTTTCTGGTACAAATAATCCTCTATTTGCATTTTTCAGAATCTAAAATATTTGCCATTGAACTTGTTAATCTTAACCTTGCCTTTTTTCAATGCCATTTTTCACAAAATAATTTTATGTGAATAGTGCCTGTGAATAATAATGATGATCAATAGTGTCGCACTATTCTTATGAATAGTACCTGCACCAATATCGTACTTTTCTACCAGAATTATATTGTTTGTGCTCTGATATCAGTTGTTGCGAAGCGTGTCAGACTAATAAAACGGAAAAAATATTTAAAAGAGAAGAGCAATAAATTGCACAAGACAAGACAAGATTTACGTGGTTNAGGTTCGTCAATTTTTTTTGTCTACTCCACGACACATCAAGAATAGCTCTTTATTAATTGAAGAGAAAGAAGAAATTGATGAATGATCAGCAAATAAAAATGCAGACCCTTTTTATATGCATTTGAATGCCCTGCCGACGTAAGCACTTACATCATAAGAAAATTCAACCTGCATGACGATGTAAGCACTTACGTCATAAGAAAAGAATCAACCTGCCGACGTAAGCGCTTACGTCAAAAGAATTCAAGATGAATTCTTCCGCCTATCATTTTTCTTCTCTCTTTGACTTTTCTTTCTTTTGTTTTGTCTACTTTTCTTTCTTTTACANCTTCAAGATGAATTCTTCTGCCAATCATTTTTCTTCTCTCTTTGACTTTTCTTTCTTTTGTTTTGTCGACAACAGATTTGCTCCTATCATAATCCACATTCAGTTTCCTGATTTATTTCATTTTGCGGATTTGTTTATTAAGTTTTTATCAGTTTGAATAAGTCAGGTGCATAAGTTGTACGAATAGTGAAGAGAAAGGTTCCTTTAAACCTAATGTAACCTATGGGTGCTCAGCTACTCCTACGAAAAGATCGAAACCACAAGTTGGGATGGGTTTTGTAGAAAGTAAGAAAAAGTGAGCATCTGTATATACTTTTTGAAGGGAAAAAGTGCTGGAGAGCATCAGAATTCCGTCTGTTTGAGTTGAATATTAAAACTACGGAAAATGCCGAAAAGAAAATTATAATCGTAATCCTCTAGTATTCATTTTTTGCTCTGGCTACCTCACATTTTAGGATTGTCCAACATCAGGCAAGCAAAAAAGAGAACCCCAATTACTTTCTTTTGATAGGTAAGAGAACCATAATTACTTGTCAAACAGAAGAGACATAACGGAAAACAGATCGTGTGGATGCTCAAATTTTAAGTTAACGAAATATAGATGTCATCATTGTACGAAAAGCTTGAGCAGAAAAAAGAAAAAATGATAAAGATTAAGACCAAGCTGTGCCTCAGCTAAGCAAATAAGGGTGACTGTAGCAGCAACACTGCTTGTGGCTTCTGGTGGCCTTTCTGTGAAGTGTAAACAGCTAAATGCCTAAATCTCCTCTAAAAGTTATATCAAACAATTTTCTCTTCATGTTGGTAAACTCCTGCAGCTTTTTTGAGAAAGGAGGCAGCTTCCGTGATATATGGGCGATGAGATGAAGGAACTGGACAGATATTTCACACATACCTGTTGACAGAACTTCCAGAGCTCGATCTTGAAGCAATGCACCGAGAACAAAAAGTGTCAATCCAAGTTCAGAATGCAAACTATCCATCGGATAAAACTTTGGACCGTTAAGTTGAAAAAAGGATGATGAAGTGAGAGCACTGCTCCACCTAATCTTTAGGTCAGAAATCCATCGAATCTTGGGGTTGTCACCGACTAGATTTATATGGTGTATCAGATTTCCCAAAATTGGCAAATACTGTTCCACCTTCTGTATATTCTGCATAGCTTGAAACAAAAATGAAAATGAGAAACTTTCATGTGCTATTCATTTCTTTACAAGCTTAAATATCTGCCGGTGCATATTTAAGCCCTTCCAACCCATTTGTCCAGTTAACTAGTGACACAGAATGTTATTATCACTGTTTTACTACGTTAGTAAGCAGGTATTACATAGACTTTATCATGTTAGAAGCAATGTATTATACGAGACTTTACCATGACTAGGACGAAAAGGGTCTTATTGAAACAACATTTATTATGGGTTCTTGATAGCACATGAAACAAGACGACTACCTGTTCACATCGAGAAGTCAATCCCCCAGACATTTCCTTGGCAATAGCCTCCACTCTTTTAATTGCTCCAGGGTACCAGGATCAGACGCTGGAAATGCATCTTCAAACAGAACCTGTCAACATTAGCAAAGAGAAACTAATTGAAAATCAAAACACTGAATCAATAGAACCATACAGCTCTAAATAGCACACTTCTTTTTAATTTTCGCCAATGGAACTTTCTTAAAAGTTCAATTCATGATTCAGGCATAAGGAAGTTCAAATCATACAATTTCACTATAATATATCAATTTACCCAATGCTTAAGGTGGAATTGTTGCATGTACCTCAAATATCAGCATATCCTAAGGTGAAAGTGCTCCATAAATCCTCAAAGAACATTCTTAAATGGGAAAAGGTCCAAATTTGCGCACCTGAACTTTGCGAAATCCATACCCTCCGTTAAAACTTTGCTTCAAAAATCATCTCGCCGTTACACATGTCACACCTCCTTTTTCGGGGGAAAGGAGTTTTTCCAGTTTAAGTGACATTATTGAAATGAGATTAATCATTTCATTTTTATAGAGACGCCACTTGGATTATTTATTACGATGTCCCAAGTCACAATTTATTTTGAATCCCAAATCAAAAAAATTGACTCTGATTAAGTCTGCGAAACACAGAAGACCGGGTAAGAAACTCTGTTAACCCGGAATAAGGTGTGAGGCACCCCCGGATTTCGTAGTTTTAGCACGGTCGCTACTTTAAACTCGGCTTAATAATCTGATTATTATGTGTTTTAAACTTACGTGCATTTTACCTCTTTACCGCATTTAATTGTATATCTAAACCATTTTTAGTATTTATGGAACTTATTTGAACAAGCCACGATGTCGTACACTTGTTGTTTTCATACACATTGCGAATCACACCACGTAAAACGTACCCGTGATTCATAACATGTTTATTTTAATTATTTGAAGTTATCGGTCAAGGCACATGGACGCACTTGAATTTGAAGTTACGTATAATGACTATGGCACGGGAACTGTACCCATAGTCACAATAATTTATCATTAATCGCGCCTAAAGCAGCTACGATGTTCAAAAGTGTAATTATTTTTTACGTTTGAGATTATGTGTGGAAATCCAAAGTTTTATGGATTAATTTGAAGAAGAACATGTATCTAGGTAACTTAGTAAATTAATTTACGAAATGCTTCAGCTTTCTTGAATTAGGAATCAACACTCTCGAATCCACGTGATTGAACCAACAGAACACAATGGGATTTGATATTGTTCAAGAGAAACGACTTTGATTTTTTATTTAGCTAGGGAACTGATCTTGCCTTTAGTTCAAACTAAAGGGGCTGGTCCAAAGGTGCACACTAACGGGTTTTTAGGGTCTAAGGGAAGAAAGCCCAATGATAAGTCTTTTAAGGTAGATCATAGAACAATGTGCATGGGCATGATCGACAAGTAACCACACCAGGCCCAAACGGACTCACTACGAATTAAGTCCAACTTCATTAACCTCAAAGATATGGGCTTCTGGGACAGGCCCGTTGGAATTAAATATGGGCTGCCAACAATGTAAACTATACTGTCTCGTCATTAATCCAACTAAATACACAATTGAAGAAATCTACAATTTAATTATACATTCTGCTAATCTTGGTCCAATTATATGACTCAGCTATATTATCTTTCCTGTAATAACTATCTCCAATCCATGTGGCCTTGCATTTCTTCATGCGGACTAAGAATTTTCATCCCAGATCTCGCGCACATTAATCAGGCGAGCAGAAATGAGAATTAAAATTTAGCAATTAACCTTGACATTAATAACATAACAATCACACTTTTAAACTTAATAAACCAGATTCCAAATCATAAACTATAGTTCAGAATTATTCTATTGTTGTTGTGCGCACAACATGCTTTAACTACTCGTTTAACAATTATATCAAGCAATTCAAGCGTGTTAAACATTTAAACAACAATTAAAATCAGAAACTGAGTCAAACAAAAGTCACAATATAGGATTCAGAATTTCAGTATTCAAGAGAAAATACAAGGCATGGAAAGTGTACCTTGTGTTCAGAGACAATTTAAAATGTCAAATAAAGGCTAAGAAAACAGTAAGATGAAGATCAGCAGCAGGAACAACAAAATCAGCAGCAGAATCAGCAGTGCTTTTAATCAAAACAAAGTTTAGAAACCCAGAAATTGATAGCAAACAGCCGCAACTTGAACCATTCCAGAGATCTCCTTTCTATCTTTCTTTTTTTTTCGTTTTTGTTTTTGAGGTTTTTGTATTTCAGATCTGAAATTCAAATTTGAATTCAGAAATTTGTTTTTGCCTTTGCTTTTTTGACAGGGAATGAACTTTCGTGTGTGAAGGTGAGTCAGTCCGAATCCATTGTGTGAGGTGAGTGTCTTCTTTTATAGAAAGATTCCCTTGAAGCCAAATCAGTTTTTTCTTTCTCTTTTAAATCCTCTCAACTGTTGTTTATTACCCTCCCAACCCCAAGTTCCGAACTCTTTTACTACTCTGTTGCCATATAGTGCTTCTTCCTCTCTTTGATACGATTCTAATAAGTGCACTTTCCAATTCTGAAAGAACCGGTTTCAATTTAGTTGTAATAGCTTGTTAGGTTAGTTAGCCTCGCCTGACTAGCACAGGCGCGTGAATAACTGGGGAGTGGAGTTCAAAAGTTAGTTATAACTAACTTTCCCACCTTCCTCTATATAGTTGACATTTTCCTCATTTTGTAAGGCATTAGAAGATTTTAGAATAAAAGAATCTCTCTCTTATCTCTCATTCTCTCTCACTCCATCTCTGTTTCCAGAACTACATCGAGCAAGCTGTTCAAGGACAATTCTTTCATTTGTTATTTAGCCGAGCTCACTTTTCTTTCTTTTTTTTACTTAACATCGATTGAAGTTGCAACATTGGTATCAGAGCTTTTTGCTCCTTGGATCTGTGGAAATGGGTGATCACAATACTCGTATGCAAGAGCTGCGTAAGGAAGTTGACAATCTCAAGGGTTCGATGGATGCAGTCATAACTTTTGTTTCGGAATTGAAAAGTTCTGTGATTACATTTTTCAATAAATCTGAAACTAACTCAAAATCGTCCGAGGGGCCAATATCTCGGAATCCGGCGAAAGTTATGAAATATGAACGCACATTCACTCACAAGTCCAACCATATAAAAATTACTCAAATCCGACTACAAATCCTCTTTCAAAACTAGAAATCTTTGTTAAAGAAGTTCTTCCAATTTTTTTCCAATTTCAACCCCAAAATCCAAAATTAAAGAGGAAATTAATGATAGATTAGTGAAATATAACAAAAATTAGAATGTAGAATCATTACCCAATTGATATCTTTGAAACTCCCTCGAAAACCCGTCCAAATCCGAGCTCCCAACTCAAGTTTTTCAAAGTCTCCAGGATTTTCTTTTGGTTGTCCAGGAGCTTCTTCTGGTTGTCCAGAAGCTCCTTCAATGAATCCTCCACTGATGGAAGTACCTGAAGCTGTGCTGGGGCTGACTGTGCTGCTAATGCACTGGATAAGACAGACATCTTTGATGTAGCTGCCTGCATCCAGTTGTTGATGCTGGATAAGGTATGAGAAATCTGTAGTGCAGTCTGGGGTAAGTAGAAGATGAGGGCACAGATAGTGGCACGGTGATGGATGGCCCGGATGAAGGAGTAGGCCGGATGAAGGAGAAGGCAAGGCAGCTGAAGGTCCCTCTGCTGTGGAAGGCTCTGACCCGGTGGCCACTACCCTTGGCTCTTCAGATTGGCCAGTGGAGGTAGTGGTTTTACCCTTTGCTTTAGGGTTTTATGGTCCTTTGAGGCTATACCAGGAGAAAGGTTTCTTCGGTTTCACCTTCGTGTCATAGTGCCTCCCCTCTACCCTTTGGTCCTCGAGATACATAGTGATGAAGTTGGGGTAGGGGTAGGAACTTTCTCCTTTTCGGGTTACTTTGGAGATGTGGTGGGACATGAGGTTCCCCATATTGCTTGGATATCCCGCCATGATGGAAGCTATTAGAATCGCTCGGGAGAGTGGGAGCAAGCCGGCTGCATACAAATGTGCATCACCCTTTGGCTTCAAAGCTGAGGATATTTCTGGCGATTGGGACTCCAGATGCGAGCCAGGCCGGTGTTTTTCCTGCGATGGCTATTACTTCCGCTAGCCAAGGCCAGGCTGCTTCATCTAGGGCCATCTTCTCCAAATACTGTACAGCTTCCACATCCTCAAAACTGGCATATTTGTTCAAGGTATCGCCATCAAACCGTATCTTCAAGTTCCGTACCTTTGTCAAAGTGGTGCCCTTTTTTATGTGGGCAACATTTGCGTAGAACTCCTTGATAGGGTACTCATTTGCATCCGGAACCTTGCTGGTGAAGTACTTCCACCCTTTTCTCTCCTCAAATTGTCTATTGACATTTGGGTTGTGGGGAAGGAGATCTCTGTCTATAAACTGTCGCTCAAGGGTGAGCAACCTTTGGGGCCACCATTCCCGAAATTTGAGGTATGCTTTCTCGCTCACGAATCTATCCGCCCATACCTCGGGCTTCCTTGATCTAGCAAGACCACTCACATTGGTATCACCCCCTCTCTCATCATCCGGGATCTCATCATCCTCATCTACATTGATAGGAGCAGCTGTTGAGGCCAGAGTTGCAGCAGGTGGGGGAGATGTCTCTGATGCCTCACTACCTCCCTCTGATCCATCAAACGACCCAGAAGAGGAGGTAGCTTCATTGATTAGGCGAAAGGGTTGTGATTGGTCCTCTTATCGAAGTTGTGTAGATTCCCCCTAAGAAATCTTTCGGGATGGGAGATATTCATTTGGGTCTGATGATTCGGCAGGAGGTCTAGTGAGGGTTTTCTTTTTGCTTATGATTCTTTGAGTTACTAAGGGCAAAGCCTGCTTTCCTTTGCCCAGGCCTTGAGAGGATTCTGCCCTCCCTTTTGATTTGTCTGCTCCTCCACAATATCGCATAATTTTCTACAACACACAATTAGTGAAAGATAATTAGAATTAGGGTTCAATCATGCCTTAAAGTAGTACAGATGAAATGAACAACAATGCTTCTCAAAACAGGGCATCACAGACCACGAAAAAGTATTCGCGGTCATGGAATTCCCATCGCAGACCGCAAAAAAGTGAATGCGGCTTCGAAGAGGTAAGGTTCAGACTACTGACTCTCTGATCTTGGACACACGCGGACCGCAAAAAATTAGATGCGGCCACGAATGACCAATCGCGGACCGCAAAAAAATGAACGCGGCCACGAAAGCAATTAACAGACTTTTTGAAGTTCACAAGCGCGGACCGCGAAAACTTGAACGTAGCCGCGAAGAACCAATCGCGGACTGCGTAAAAGTAACCACATCCATGAACTCTTAGCAATCACTCAGTAACTAAAAGTTGGGGTAGCGCGGACCGCGAAAAAATTAATGCGGCCGCCTACCCTATCGCGGGCTGCATAAAATGGATCGCGGCCGCGAAATTCAAAAACGATCGGTACTAAGAACACTGATAACTAGGTTTTTCACTAAGTGTGCAAAAATTAGTTCAATTAACCATGCAAAGTTACTAACCCCAGCCCTCATTTGGCATATAAACACTACCCACATATATTTAAGTATCAATTAAGCATTAATTTGAGATCAATGGCATGCATCTAACCCTAACTAACAAAGAAAAATTAAAACAAAGAGAAAAGAAAAGAAAAAGATAAAATCACATCATGGAATTGAACATACTAGTTGTAAAATTGTAGTAGGAAATGAACTCTTAATGTGAATGAGATGAAAATTGAGAGCAGGATGAGAGGATCACTGCTTTTTTGTGTGGTGAAATGTTAGGGNTGTGAATGAGATGAAAATTGAGAGCATGATGAGATGAACAATGCTTTTTGTGCGGTGAAACGTTAGGGTTCAAAAATTGTAAAATGTTTAAAGAAACCTTATTTATACTAATCAATTGTGGAACCCACCGCCTTACCCGAGCGCGGCCTCAAAATTCTATCGCGGTCCGCGCTATGTTACCTTATGTAGAACAGCTTCAAGCACATGGGCGCGGTCCGCGGAATATTGGCTGCGCCCGTGAAATTCAATGCGGTCCGCAAAAATTGGAACGCGGCCGCGATCTCTGAAGGATTTTTGATAGTCCAACTTCAGAGAGTTGGCATTTTGCCTTTTTCAAGTACGCGTCCGCGGACAAAAATGTACTGCCTTGAAATGCTCACGCGGACCGCGAAATTTTGGGAGCGGTCCGCGAACTTCCAACACAGCTAAATTTTTCCTGTCAAAATCCTGCACTGCACAACCAGTTCCTACATACACTTCACAACCAGTTAATCCAAAACAAACTAACAATAAAATCAAAAGAAAAAAAAATACATGGGTTGCCTCCCAAGAAATGCCTGATTTAACATCGTGGCATGACGCATGTTACCATCATCATTTGAAATAGATCAAGGACATTACGTGGCTATCATAAATCTTGCCAAGGTAATGCTTCACTCGGTGCCCATTGACTCTAAAGATTTCACCATTTTTGTTTTTCAAATCGAGAGCACCAAACGGAGTTACATGCACCACTTCAAAAGGGCCACTCCACTTTGACTTGAGTTTTCCCGGAAACATCCGTAACCGAGAGATGAATAGAAGAACCAAGTCACCCTTCTTGAATTCTTTATTCCAGATATATTTGTCATGTAAGTACTTCATCTTGTCCTTATACAAGGACGAGCTAGAATAAGCATGGAACCGAAACTCATCAAGTTCATTTAGTTGCTCTACCCGGAGATTGGTAGATACATCCCATTCAAGGTTTAACTTCTTCAACGCCCACATGGCCTTGTGCTCTAATTAAACTGGAAGATGGCATGCTTTCTCAAATGCCAACCGATACGGAGACATAACAATTGGAGTCTTGTAAGATGTACGATAGGCCCATAAAGCATCGTCAAGTTTCCTTGACCAATCAGTCCAGTTTGCATTGACAGTCTTGGATAATATGCTCTTGATCTCCCTGTTGGAGACCTCAACTTGTCCACTAGCCTGTGGGCGATAAGTGGTTGACACCTTATGATTGACACCATACTTAGAAAGTAAAGTGTCGAAGGCTTTGTTGCAAAAATGAGAACCCCCATCACTAATGATAGCCATTGGGGTGCCGAACCTTGTGAAGATATTTTTCTTTAAGAAAGCCACCACACTCCGTGCCTCATTGTTGGGCAAAGCCACAACTTCAACACATTTGAAAACATAATCAACAGCAATCAGAATATAAGTGTTCTCACATGAACTCACAAATGGCCCCATAAAGTCGATGCCCCACACATCGAAAATATCAATCTCAAGAATAGTGGTGAGGGGCATTTCATTCTTCTTGAAAATTCCACCAGCTCTTTGGCACTCATCACAA